ACATACAAAGACACAATAAAAAAGGTCAAAAGTTAAAAAACATGTATACAAAAATTGTACCCGGAAAGTACTAATTACTTGTTATTTACAAAAAAGTACCTGTTACACACCAGACTGTAATATACCATGATATGTACTGGGGTATACCTGGCATTGTACCTGGAAAGTACCTGGTACATACCAGACTGTAATGTACTATGATATGTACTTTTGATATACCTGGTATTGTACCTGGAAAGTACTAATTACTTATTATGTACAAGAAAGTACTTGCTACATACCAGACTTTAATATATCACACATACTGGTAGTAAATCTGTCCCAGTACCAACCAGGTATCTGGAATATAACAAGGTATAGTTGGAATTGCAAGTAGTATTTGGTCTGTATTGGTCAAGTGTAAAGTACATACCTATTAAGTACTAACTACCTGTTTTGTACAAGTAAGTACTTGGTTAATACCAGATACAGAGTTCTATTCTACCCCAGGATGTATTGGAGAATAACAGGTATACATCAGGAATGTATTGTGSGTACTAGGCAAGTATTAGCTATATACCTGGTTTTGTACCTGGAATGTACTTAGTACTTTTTAAGTAAGTAACTCCTCACTCTCCAGCTTTGAACAAAGTAAACTTGGCAGGCAGGAAGAAGGAAGAGAAACATTTACGACTTCAAAATAAAAGTCCAGTAGTTTGTTTTTGTTGTGTTTTTTCTGGATATTGTTACCCATATTTTTAAGTATATTGTACACAGTTGATACTTGTGGAAATTGAAATACTTTCTCAGACTCCTGCAACCAAACCATCACGAGAAAGAAAAGAAAAACTATCCGATACTTTTAACAGCGAGGACGAAACCTAAATCCTCGCCGCTCGCCAACTTCGACTGCAGGTTCTGAATTATTAAAGAAACTCATGAGCCCACAGACTCCTCCAGGAACAGTCAGCACACAAGTTATTTATTTATAGATAAATTAATCAATAACATTTGTACTTTTTGTTCCAGACAGCACAGCTCTGCAATAAACACACAGACGTATTGCTGACATGAGAAATGAAAACGTGTTGTCAGACGTGGAAGAAAATGATGTCATCGCCTCGTTAAACCATCTCTCCACTAATTAATCACCTCCAATGTTTAGGATTTGTTTTTTTGTCCCGTTACCACAGACAAAAATAAGACAACAGATGAGTATTTGATGATTGTTGGGATTAGGAGCTTGTTAACAGATCAGTATTAGCCGTGCACGTCGAGGCAGGTACTAGCTGAAGCTGCGAAGATCAGCCGAAAAATTTTCACGGTAATTAGATTGTTGCCTCAGCGATTAGACGGGGTGAAAACACCTAAAAATGAGGCTGTGGTTTGTTGATCCAGGCTGGATATCTTCAATTTAAAGATGACGCCTTGTTTTATGTACAAAAATACTGTATGTAACCAGTATTTACTTTGCAACTGTTTGCATTTTACTTAACTTAAAGCACCCTGAACGTCTCGTTTGGGGGTTTTCTGGTGTTGTTTTGAGAGCTCGGTGTTAAAGAAATATGTGAATAAAAGAATTACTTGTGAAAATATTAGGTGGGTAAAATTAATGGATATTATCAGTGATAATATTTGCGTCTCAACTGTGAAAAAATACATAAAATATACAAACAGATTTTGGGCTGTCAGAACAAAAACCACAAACTTATTGATATAAATTAAAATAAAAACAGGCCTGCTTTCTCTGGAAACAAAAATATGAATTTCAGCCGTGAAAAAGTGAGTTTTCCATTGAAGGGTTAAGAAAACGAGCATCAGCTGAAAACATCATCTGAGCTGAAGCTCCAAAAACATCTGAAGGCAGAAAAAGGAAAAAAAAAAAACATTTGCTTTTTACACAACAAATCCAGCAGTAAAT